AGCTGTCGCTTCGTCATATATACAAATAGATCACGGAAACTTGACATGAGATGAAAAATGAGGTGATAAACAAGACAAATGAGATCGTGGCGTAGTTGTCCAGTGGTATAGAAGTGTAAGCTTTCAAAGGCCCATCTGAGACGAGTTCATGCCAGACGTTAGCGAAGGCACAACCGAACCCGCCACCGAGCCGGCGACGGACGCATGGCGTTGGTGTTCCCACAACTTCGGCTTCGCGGTGACCTCGATATTCCCGTACGCCTCCGGCTGCGAGATCTTGACACAATCGCGCGTCCCGAGCACGAGCAGCTCGAAGAAGAATCCAGCAGCAGCGCGGCGCGTAGCCTTCGTGGCCATCTGGTTGAAGCTGAGCACCTTCTCGCCCTCGTCACCGCCGGCGTGTTCAGGGCGTAGCTCCTTGCGGATGATACTGAGAGCCTTGATGGTGTTCTTGCTGTACCCCTTGCCGTCCACACCGGTTGTATCAGCGGCGTGTGAACTCCCGCGCTGGTCGAACTCGGCGATAGGGCACTCCAGATCGGCGTACGTGTCCTTCGCATCCGGGTCGTCTTCGAGTGCAGGCGTTGACAAGCGCGACAACTCCGAGGGAGCTCGGCTACCGGCACGTTCGGGCACGGGCGGCAAACCGGCGTCTGCGCCCTCGAATGGGACGTCCATCTGGTAGTCGTCGAACATCTGCGGCTGGTCGCTGAACTGCAGACCGGCGTCGCTTGGTGCGCGTCCGGCTTCACTGTGAAGTGCGGCACTAGGTGCGGCGCTCGTTGCGCGGCGACCCTGCTCGACCTCTGCGTCGTCGACTGCTTCAGGTTGTGCGCCTTCGGGCCCCGCAGGCTGCTCAGACTCGACGCGTTGGCGTTTGCTTGGGGGCTTCCCAGGAGAGCCACCGCGGCGTTTGGCTTGTGCGTGCGTAGAGATGGGACGAAGGAAGAGCTTCTGAAGTTCGGGTGCGAGACCAGGCGGCGCAGCGTTGAGGAACTTGCCCTGGTCCGTCGTGACGATTGGCATAAAGTGTGCGCGAGGGTCAGCGTTGATCTCGAGCATGCGCTGCATAAGACCGGAGCGAGGCAGGTAGCGAGGTGTCGCGAGGATGGAAGATGTATCTTGAGCGCCGAGACCGCCGCGTGCACGGCCGCGCCCGAGTTCGGTCACGTCGTCGATGACCTGCTTTTGCTTGTGCTTCTTCGGCATTGGTGTTGTCGTAACCTCCGCCTCCGCCTCGGGAGCAGGAGCGGCTTCAGCATCACCAATGACTACGTCTCCTTCGGCGTCAACAACAGGCGGGGTCTGAGGGCCCGGGGTGAGAGGAGACACTGGGCATAACGTGTGAGTCCGGCATGGTGAGAGATATGAAGAAAGTGGGGCTCACTGGAACGCGAACGAGTCTGCTCAGGGGTCTGCGCCACATCAGCAACGGGCGGTTCGTCCAAGGGCGGCAAAACGGCCTCTTCGGGCTGCCCGAAGTCCGCCGCCATCAGGTCACCGAAGTCGAGCGCCGGCATGCCCTCGTCGTTGCCGAAGTCCTCCGATGCACCACGGCTATAACCACCCACGTCCAAATCGTCTCCGCCAAGCAGGTTTGACGCCATAGACTGGCGCGCCGTACGGCGTGCAGGTGCGTCGCGACCAACACCAATGCTCATCGAATCCTCCGAGTGCTCGTGAATACTGCTCCCGCGTGCGCTTGCGTTCTCATCTCCGGGCAGCTCAATGTCGATGTCGAGGAAGTCCTGAGAGCCTAGACCGTCTGAAGGCCCGACATTCGAGTTTTCGAACCCTGCGTCACTTGCAAGGTCGAACTCGAGGTCTTGGGCGGAGGCGAGGGTGATGTCTGCGTGACGGGCGACATGGTGGTCGTGTGGTTGATGAACCTGGTCTTGGAAGTCGACACCCCTAGAGTTTATGTCAGTACAAAGATAGATGAAATAACAGGGTATGCGCTCAGTGCGAAGTCGAATACGCCGTGCAACCACAATGGAAGTACTTACCAGTCCATGTCCGGGAGAAGCACATCGAGGTCCAGACCACCGGGCTGGAGAGTGATAGCATTGCTGTTTGCGGCAAGTTGATCCTCGGTCATGTCGACGACTCCTGGGCGGAACGCCTAAGTGGGAAATCGTCAGTACTGTTTAGGGGACCGTGTGGCGCATGACGGCAAGCGACCGGGATCGGGAACTCACCATCTTGATCTTCAACAGAGCCTCATTGCAGTCGTCGTATAAGTATTTTGACTTCCTGCTGTATATACGGACGACCCCTAGGAGTAGTTGTCCGCTTAGACGCAGGGCCATCATCTCGATCTCCTGCCCGAGAATGTGGTCTACATGCAGGTATTAGTGACGCATTGAAGTGGGTTGAGCACCATACTGACCAACTGCGTCTGTGATATCGGTCTGTAGCGCTTGTTGCTTCGTGAGCTTGCGCTCCATATGCGCCGCGATCCATACTTTCGCGAGTGGACCGCGGCGTGAGAGGATAGCCTCTGAGTAGAACTGTGCATATAATGAGTACTGTCTCAGATATTGGTGTGTCGCTGTTCATACCATAATGTGTCCCAAGGAGAGGGGAAGAGGAGAGGGGACGCGACGGGAGAGTAGGATGAGGCAAGAGACAAGACGCGACGCGACCACAAGCAGAGACGAACGTCAACGTAACGTCGTGACCGGCCCGAGTGACCCGGCGCGCGTCTTTCGCTTCGGCGAGCTGTCGGGCGCGTTCGTGCTGGCGGCCATGCTCGCTTCGACTTCGAAAAATGCTGCCCGTGTAGTACGCCGGAGTGTGCCCGGAGTGGCACATAGAGCATATGGTGCGCCTAAAAGCGATTTTGAACTTAAAATGTACTGAACAATGTCTAGCCGTCGAAGCAACTTCATCGCCTCGAGCGCCGGCGTCCAATCGGCCTCATACCATATACTCTTCCAATGAGCTGCTCGAGCGTCATGCGGCGACCGGGAGACCTCTCGGCTCTCTCATGACCGCTCTCAGCATGAAGAACTCGAACATGACGCCGGATATTCATTCCTACTATTATTTGATAGAGGCTTTGACCAAAGCGGGAGAGTGGCGAGAGGCTTGGGCGCTTTTGGACGACGCGAAGTTATCCGGTCATGTACCGGATGCATCAATGTATAATCGACTACTGTATGTGAGTACATTGGGCATACGCATTCTATGGCATGGTGCTGATACTGTATCAGGGTGTCTCGCGCGAAAGCCCAGATGTCTCGTGGAAGGTTTTCGACAGCATGAAGAAGGACGGCGTTGCGCCGAACGAGGAGACGTACAGACTCTTGCTCTCACGAAGTCTCGCCGCTGGAAATTTCGAGATGTCCATGAAGATACTATTCGACATGGAAAAGAATGACTTCCAACCCTCCCTGGATGGCACGCAAGCTCTCTTGAACCTCGCTCTGGACCGTGGTCTTGTCCGTGTAGCGCATGAGATTGCGCAAAACTATGAGGACGGCGGAGTTCGCACGCTACAACCTGAGCTCTGGGTCAAGATGCTCACGGTCGCGACGGACTTGTACTATGTACGCCTACCTTCATTCTCATCGCGCAGACTTTCCCGCTCACTGGTGTCTAGGCCGATGGTCTTCCTGCACTATGGAAGAAAGTCATCAACGACCTCAACCTGACGCCGGACGAAGGCACCTGTGTCGAAGCGCTCCGGGTCGCAGGCCGGTTCGGTCTGGCCGACCTCGCCGTTGAAGCTCTCCGCATCCTCCGCGCACAGAAGGTCGCGTTACAGGAGTACCATTTCGCACCCATGGTCCAAGCCTTTGTCCGTGCCAACCGTCTCAAGGACGCCTTCGCTGTCCTCTGTCTACTCAAGGCACAGAACTTGCCGGTCACGCTCGCGGCCGCGCAGCCCATCTTCCAGGCTATCCATGCGGACCCGGCGCTTCTGGAGCCAGCGTGGGCCGCGGTGGAGGAATTGCATACGGAGGGCACAGCACTAGATGCTTCGTGCGTGAACGTGCTCATCCAGGTCTCCGTCGCACAGGGAGATCTTCAACGTGCGCTCGGCGCTCATAGCATCCTCGCCGAACTTGGTCTCTCCGCTACACCCGAGACGTTCGACATCCTGATGTCCGGCGCATCTGCTGCGAAGAATCGCGCTTTAGGCGAGACACTCCTTGCTGATATGAAAGCTGCCAACTTGGTACCTACGGCGGAGACGTACGAACGCGTCATTGGGCTCGCGCTCATCGGAGACGATTATGAGAACGCGTTCCAGTACCTCGAGGACATGAAGGCTGCTGGATATACACCGAGCGGCCAGGCGTACGAAAATATCATTCGCAGGTGTATTGCGGGCCAGGACGAGCGATACTTCATGGCAGTCGAGGAGATGCAATCGCATGGCCACAAGAAGTCGAGGCAATTGGACGAATGGATGTTCAGGCAGCGTGAGGCTAGGAGAAACAGGCAGGCGGCAGCGTCAGGGCCGGAGATCGAATATCTCTAATCAGCTTGTGGTCATTTATCTTCTCGCTCTCAACCTAATCTTGCTTTGTTTTGGCGTCCCGCACACCAGCCGATGTGGATGCGCTTACGGTAGCCGGACCGTCGATCATACCTCTATTATGACAATGGGCCTACATTACTCTCGGTAATTATTGCGTCCATTGTTCACACTGAAAGGGCAGCTCGTCTGTGGTTGTCCCGTCTACTATCATGTGCATATATATACTGACCACTCGCCGTCTGCTCTTCGCCACCATTTTCTCTGCTCAGACTCTCGCTCCTTGCCTTGCTCTCACTACATAGCTCGCCGGTCGACTGCACACCTCTCCTTGCTTGCTCTTGACTCTTTCGTTCCTCCAATATGTCCCACACCACTCCTTCCAAGATTCATGCGCCTAAGCCTCAGCGGGCGTACCCGGGGTCTCCCCGACTTGCGCGGCCCACTTCGCCCTCCTCGATCACGCCGCACGGTTCGAACACCAGTCATCGCGGACACGGGTCGTCCCGTCAGCACCAACCGGCCTCTCGCCCTGCAGAGTACCATCGCTCCCCAATCCCACCACATGCCCGCCTGCCATCCACTCGGAGCCAAGCCCCTCCTTCCTACAATCAGCCCACATCTGCGCGCCGCCCGCGACCCCCCGTCAAGCACGAGTTGCTCAAGATGGGAGATATCGTTTTGGTGGTCGAGTCGGCGCAGTACCCTCTCTTCCAGTTCATCGACTCGAAGGAGGGTGGTGCATCTCGCACCGATGACTATTGTGGCCATCGTCAGATGTATCTGGCTGGGGCGGGTGGTTCTTGCAGGGAAGACCCTCGCCCGGCCATGATCGTCAAACCAGACGCCGACGGGAAGCATACCGTCATGCTCTTGAGTCGATGGAGCGGGCGCTGCTGGGAGTCTCTCTCGTCCCTCATCCAGTACCTGTCTGTCGAAGTCGAGCGCGAGGGCTTCAAGCCTGAGAAGAAGCATCTGAGCGAATTGGCCGTCAAGATCGAGGGATGGCGCTCTGAAGATGTATCGTATATGATTCTGCACTCGCACAAACTCAATCCCCATAGTGGCTCAAAGCGCGGACATGTCGTTGGCGTAGCGCCATACAAATTGGCTAACAGCCCCGAGGCTGTCGAGAGATTACTGCTCCTCGAACAGTTTGTGAAGAAAGCATGGCTCGAAAAGCCACAGGCCGAACGTGACGACGTCATCATGCAGTTCTTTGTACGTCGTATTCCAACGTTCTGTCACATACCCGTCAACTCATGCACCGTTCAGAGGGATGCGAACTGGACCGATACGCGTGGGAGCGACACACCATCACCTAGCAGCTTCTATCGCGCGCCGCAAGTGCATACCCCCGGTGGTGTAGGTCTTCGCCGTAACGCTTGAGTCTCCTACGCTGACAACTTGCTCCTAGACAATCATCCGCCCTCAGATGCGCTCCGCTTATAACTCCCCGGCAATTTCTCGTGCTTCGTCGCCAGCTCTCGTCATGCGCAACCTGTTGTAATACCAATCACATCGAACGTCTTTTGTAATTGTATGATACTCCGTGTGCCGAAGGAGATATAGAATCGGATTTGATTATTGCAGAACAAGGACACAAATCGTGCAGTAGAGTACTAGGTCGCAATTGGCAACCACTTGACGGATGACTGCGCTGACGGACAGGACCGTCGCGCCATGTCCTACTCTCTTCGCTTTGAGAATGGATCTGGGCACTGGGTCAGTGTGATAGCAGTGAAGAGAAAGTAGGCAGACGTATCTTATCCGGAGTTGTAAGGCACCGGCGCGGCACCAATATCATGACATGCCGATCAGTGAGAGGTGGCCAGCCTCTTTCTGATCATGCATGCCAGTACTGGTCGCTACCGGTGCCTCGAAGAGAAGGGAAGGGGAGAGTCTGAAAGCGAGATGATAGTTAGCTCGCGAGCGTTGTGAAGTTGGAGGTTCAGTACGTACACGACGGGTATGACGCCAGCAAGCCCAAGATACACAGCACGTGACAGCTAGAGAGTTCATGGTCAGAATAAAGATTACCAAGGGGGACAGGAAGGGGCACGTATCTTTCTCGAGTTCACCGGTAGCGCCGGCACGATACCAGCACCATGACTTATGGGCTCGGAGAGAGGTGGCCAGCCTCGCTCCTCGCCGCACATGCCGATATTGGCCGCCACCGACGCCATGAAGAGCATCGAGCTGATACTACAATAGAAGATAGAGGAGTTGTTAGCGAAAACGGTCGAAATAAGCGTGTGTAAGACGATACGTACTATGAACGGAAAAGACCGGATGTGCAGTAGCATGGTAGAAACGAAACGTTGGCTAGTGTGAATCAGAGTGTGCATAGTACTCGAGGGTAGGTAGGTAAGCTCAACGAGCTGTAAAGGCCATCGCTGACGGTGGGAGCGGGAGACGAATGCCAGGGACAGGTGGAAATGATATGAGGTCGAAGTGCGGGCCCCAGGAACAACTGGGGGACGAGTCAGCCACAATACGGTATCGATGAGACTAGGTGAACGTAACTCCTTCGAGCTTGAGGCCTGTGAGCGCGCACCAACGTCCAAACATGGCGCTTTAGAACGAGGTGGCCAGTCTCGCTCTTCAGCACGCATGTCGACGTTGGGCGACCCGACGGAGATACGTATGAAAGTCTGAAAACACACAGCACAGAACAGTAAGATCGTCTGATGCCGAATGAGGAAGAGGCGAGACGTACCATGGGAAGTCCCGCGCCTACGGGGAGGAAACCCGCTGGAGGTAAGGGCACTGCAGGCAGTGGGCCTACGCGTTGACGTCATCAGGGATTGGTTGCAGAATGAAAAGTTGGAAGGACGTACGTATTGAAAGATGGCGGGGAGTGTCGGCATGAGAAGTTGCACATCAATGCATTGAAAGACTGAGAGTAGCGTAGATGAATGAAAGGGGTCACCAAGACCCGAGTTGAACCACGCCAGAGAGGGACCGTAGAAATTGCCAGGGAGACGTTGAAGAGCGGGCGGAGGGTTGGAGGGTTGAAGATAGCAGGTATTGCATGGTTTGCGACTACGAATAGATTGATGAGCGGGGGAAGTCAAGGACAGGGAGTGGGGAGTACGTATCTTTTCCGGACCCGCAAGAGGCGAACGCGACACCGACGTCAAGACAAGGTAGAGTCGAGAGAGGTGGCCAGCCTCTCTCTTCCCCACGCATGCCGGCGTCGGGCGCGACCAAAAGTGTAAGCAGGATCTAGGGAGGGTGGAGTGGAATGAGCCCATGTGATAGCGGTAGAGAGTGCGAGCGTACCATGGCGCATGAAATGGAGGTGGCGCCGACGCGACGTGGTGCAGTGGGGTAGAGTTGAGCGAGAGGAAATGGGGTAGTTGAGGTATGGCCTGGACGTGATTGTGAGATCGGGACTGAGCATGTTTTGGACTGAACATGAAGACATACGAGAAACGATATCCTGATCAAGTTGCGGGGATGCTTGAACACTCGTGCGGACTGTGTGCTCGTAAGCATGGCGTATACAATGCGCTGAGAGAGGGAGAAAGAAGAAAGAGGTGAAAGACTGCTCGGCATATCACAGCCCCATCGGCGAATTTTTTTGGTTTTTTCTACTGAAGCGTAGCGCCATCGGTGCATACACATACGTAGACATCAGCGCGAACGCTGGGGCTGCGAGAGAGGTGGCCAGTCTCCTCGTTTCAGCCGAAGTCATACGTTTTGCGCTACCGACGTATTGACGCACTCCTCCTACACGACCCAACGCTTCCACATCTCGCGAGGGCAACAACAGACGGACGGACAACGACACAACATCAACGATAACCACACCGGAGCAGTTGGGCTGAACAGCGCCAACTGCTTAGAAGCCACCGCGGCGCCTCTTGCGGACGGCGACAGCGGCGGCGATGACACTTGGGTCCAGCTTGACGTCAAGCTTGGGTGTCTGCGGACGGGGAGCATCCGCCTTGGGAACTTGAAGAAGGTCCATAGCCGGCTTGACAGGCGCGGCAGCGGGAACTGGACGAGGCTTCAGATGCTCGGGCTGCTCGTAGAGCTGCCACTTACTGAGGTTGACGCGTTCGCGGAGCGGTGCAGGGGCCACACGGGCACTCGCTATGAGGACACGTCAGATGCAAGGTTATGAACGCCGAGTAAGGGGGACGCACCGTTCGCGTTCAAGAAGAACTGTAGCATCTTCATGGAGTTAGCGTACTCAAGATCACGAGTAGCCGCGAGCTCAGCTTGATACTGGCGCTCGAGTTCAGGATCAACCACGGGCGTAGGAGCATAGTCCGGGTCAAGATCCAACATGATCGCGTCGAGGTCGACGGGCATGTGAAGGGGGAAGGAGGGGGCAATCGCGGGGAGCGCTGGGAGCGGCTGGGAGCGAATGTCAAGGGGTGTCATAGTGACGCTTCTAGTTCGGTGCAAGATGCGAGTGAACAGAATGAGGAGGACTGCTCTTCGCAGCGGGTCTTTTATACGGCTTGGGATCGATTGAGGTTTGGCCTGGGAAACAGTATCGCACTCCTATTCTTCAGACCTGAGGAGGATAGAGCCTAAGACAACGCACCGCCATAGAGAACTAAATTTAGAACGTACTATCCTTGAACGCAAGCGCTATGTCAGTTTCGAGGTCGACCTGCATCAGCGCGGCACGTCAGGGTATAGCTGTTCGCACTAGCAGTAGAGCACGGGATAACAACTGAGATATAGGGTTCTGGCCTTTCAGTTGCATTTGAATTATCGAGAAGTTGGAGAGTTCCGCAAGCGTATTCCCGGCGAAGGATTGAGAAAGAGGGCAACCGAGCGAGTGCGGCGCGCGTCGCGAGTCTCAGTCGCGACAGCGACAGGCTGAACGCGACCCAGTGGGAAGGTCAAGTCTCGCACCGCACTAAGAGGTCGTCCTTGTATGCAATAGATTAATATGATATCGCACGAGGGATCCATATTGTACCCATAACATGTCGCGCGGTGGTAGTCGAAGGCAAGAGAGGGGGGAACGCGCTCGCGAAGGGCGCGTCTTGACGCGTGACGTCACGTCACATCACGCTTTTCGCGCCGTCTCGTGCAACCTGACCCATGCTGTGCCGCCGCGAAGGCACCGCCGCCACTGCGCGGTTGTGCTGATCAAGACCATCGCTGTCGACGGATACGACGGGCGTATCAACAAACGCGCGCATCATGATATCACATCGCCCCCGTCATTGTCGTTCAGCATAAGTACCCGCGAGTCTGCGGGTCTACGTTACTCAAGTACACTCTTCTTTGCCTGACGATCCTCGACTTGCTCCATTCATCACGATGCCTAACGTCAAAGACATTTTGCACATGCGCAACCCTTTCACCCATAACAAGGACGACGAGGTCTGCATCCCAAAGAACCTCAACGAGAAGAACGCTTCTCCACCAGCGCCGCCCGCACCCGCACCACCGACGGTCGCACAGGACTCTATGGCCGCTCCCGCGAGCGCAATGGCATCGTCCGAAGCTCCTTTGACCGTCGTCGAGCTCTTTCAGAGCCAAGGTTGCAACTCCTGCCCTCCCGCCAACGCCAACGTGATCCCGCTCGCGGACCAGCCGGATAAGCTTGTCCTGACTTACGAAGTCACATATTGGGACTACCTTGGCTGGCCTGACACCTTCGGTAACAAGGCAAGTTAGTTCTATTCTATGCTCTCCTCAGCGCATCAGGGCTAACGCACCGCCAGGAATGGGACACACGTCAACGCGACTACTCGTTCGCGTTCAAGAACCGCAGTGTATATACGCCCCAGGTCATTGTCAACGGTGTCGCGAATGGCGTAGGCTCGCGCAAGTCCGAACTTGCCTCCCTTCTCGAGCAGGGTGCATCTGCTGTGCCCACGCCGTTACCCGTATCTGTCAGCGCGGGTACAGTGACCGTGGGTGCACGCCCAGGCACTCGCGGTATAGTCCAACTCATCCGTTACGACCCGCGCAACCAGGTCGTGGACATAGGCCGCGGGGAGAACCGAGGAGAGCATCTGCCGCACCGAAATATCGTTCGCGAGCTGCACGTCTTGGGTTGGTGGGAAGGCGCGGAGTTAAGCTTCGCGATCCCAGAGATGACGGCGCAAGATGGGCTGAGCGCTGCAATTCTCGTGCAGAAGGGAAGGGGAGGGCAAATACTTGGCGCTGCGAAGGTCTAGAGCTTCCTGGGTCTGAATGATTGTACGAGTAGTGGGGCATAGACGGCGATGCTGGTCATTGTCGAGGCTTCATCATGTTACTGTAATGTCCTTGACGCTATAGGGACCGGCTCTCTGATGTACTGTGGACTTCGGGTTCCCATCTGGTGTACGCCTAAACTTTGGTTATATTTCGTAAATATCGGGCCGCCCATATGGCGAGAGGGGCGATGCAGACGAGCGGCAAAGGCAAGCCGTCGAAGAAGCGCTGGACACGCGCACACGTGAAGTTCAACGGTTCGGCGCGTGCACGCGACTTGTCTCAGGACGCGATCATGGCCAACCGACACAGCGCGTATTCTTCCCTCCAATCTACCGACGAGGAGGCATCGTACTATAGCGCGCCCTCGCGGGCTGTGCATCGCATGCCCTCCGATAACTCGGACTATGGCGACGGATACTTAGCCGCCAGACCGCTTTCGGGGGTTAGCGGTACCTCTGGCTCGAGTGCGAGTAGCCGATCTTTACCCGAACCGCCACAGGTATGCATGGCTATGAAACGCAAAATATATGCATATCTAACCATTATTCAGATACCCGCCATACAATACCCCCAGGCAAACTACACCGCACCGAGTCTACCCACGATTGATTCTGGGGACCCTCTCGACTTCGACGACTTTTACGGCGCAGCAGCGTCTGCACCGACTCACGACCCATTTCACGACTCCATACCACGCCCTCTGTCTACAGTCTACGAAACATCTCGCGAACCCTCGCCTGCGCCATCGAGCGAACACCACCAACCACAGCGACCCCTCCCTCTTCCACAACCTCAGTTTCCAGCGACATCTTTCAAAACACCACCACGACCCTCCGTATTCCAGCGCAGGGTCTCTCCCTCCCCACAACAAGTTGATCACTTCAAGCGCGATCTAGAAGTCGGATATACATCCGGCTCCCGCTTTAGCACTCCTCGCTCTCGATCACCCACTCCTGGCCCAGGCGACGGGTCATTCACCGGTCAACCCAATATGCACTATACCGGTGTCACAGGATATAGTGGCTACACGGGCTATACTGGAGGCTCTGCCTACGATGACGAGAAAGACCTGGGCTCGGATGATGAATACGACGAGTACGACGATGACCAGGTCGACGAGATGCTCTCCGAGAAGCAACGGGCGCCACCTGCGCATTCGCGCGCGTTCATGAACGCTGCTTCCAGTCTACCACCCCCTGGAGACATGGGCCCTTCCTCTACCATGCACTTTGGCCCCGCGCCGACCGGCCGTGTGCATCGACGTAACAAACGACGGCAGGTCAAGCTCACCAATGGCAACCTCGTCGTAGACCTGCCCATACCGCCGAGGCTGGTGCTGCCGCGCGTGGGCGACCCTGAGGTCATGAAGACGCGGTACACGGCCGTGACGTGCGACCCAGATGAGTTCGAAAGCTCGGGTTTCTTCCTGCGGCAGAACGAGAGTGGACGGCGCACCGAGCTGTTCATCTGCGTGACGATGTACAATGAGGACGAGGTTCTGTTCTGCCGGACAATGTACGGCGTCATGCGGAATATCTCGCACTTGTGCACGCGTAAGAACTCGCAAACATGGGGCATTGACGCATGGAAGAAGGTTCGTCTGACACGCCGTGTAGATGGGACTTAGCTGACGCTTACTAGGTTGTTGTTTGCATCGTCGCAGATGGACGCAAGAAGATCCACCCGCGAGTTCTCGACTGCCTCACGCTCCTTGGGATCTACCAGCCTGGCGGCCACATGAAGAACATGGTCAACAACAAAGCCGTCACCGCCCACTTGTTCGAATACACCGCCTCTTTCGCACTCGACGCCGACATGCACTTCCGGTACCCTGACAAGGGTATTGTTCCCACGCAAGTCATCTTCTGTCTCAAAGAGAAGAACCAGAAGAAGATCAACTCGCACCGGTGGTTCTTCAACGCTTTTGGACGAGCACTGCAGCCGAACGTATGCGTTCTCCTCGACGTTGGCACGCGTCCCGGTAGCAAGAGTATATACCACCTCTGGAAGACGTTTGACTTGAATAGTAACGTGGGCGGGGCATGCGGCGAGATCGCTGCGTATAAAGGACGATACTGGGCCGGTTTGATCAACCCCCTTGTCGCCGCGCAGAACTTCGAGTACAAGATCAGCAACATTCTTGATAAGCCGACCGAGAGCATGTTTGGATACATCAGCGTGCTTCCCGGAGCGTTCTCTGCGTATCGGTGGATCGCATTACAGAACGACAAGACCGGGCGCGGACCGCTTGCTTCGTACTTCAAGGGCGAGGTTTTACATGGCCGCGATACGGACATCTTCACGTCGAACATGTGTTAGTACGCTCTCTCGCTTGTCATTACTACATGATGCTGACTACCTGAAAGATCTCGCAGAAGATGTATGCTATCTCTATCCATTCCCAGCAGTCCAAGATCACTGATAGTTTCTTAGCGCATCCTTTGCTTTGAACTCGTCGCAAAAGCAAACTCAAATTGGGTCTTGCGCTATGTCAATAGCGCAGTTGGCGAGACCGACGTGCCCGATGCACTCCCCGAGTTCATCTCGCAGCGGCGACGATGGCTCAACGGCTCGTTCTTTGCCGCTACCTATGCGATCGCGCACATACCACAGATGATGGCAAGCGGTCATAGTCTGGCGCGGAAGTGCTGGCTACTGCTCCAGGCGTTCTACAACATCATCAACTTAATCGCCAGTTGGTTCGCCATCGTGAGTGCTCCATTGTATTGCATGAAAGTGTGTACTGAATAGATTCGCGGATAGGGGAACTTCTACCTGTTCTTTGTCATCTTGACGAGTAGTCTCGAGGCGAAGGAGTTCGGGTTCCAATGGATCCGCTACGTGAACTCCTGTGTCCAGGCATGTAGTATCCATCTTCCTGTGGATGCCTATAATTGATGGCCGTTTAGTACTTCATGGCTTCGCTCGTCATTGCATGTTTCCTCTTCGCGATGGGCAACAAGCCTCGCGCGTAAGCGTCTCTTCTCGTGCATTCCTTTCAACAGTTAACCGTACCCGACAGTGTCCATTGGAAGTATAAGCTCATCGCACTGCTACTCGCGATCCTGATGGTCTACTTACTCTTCGCCGCCGTTATGTGTGCCATCCAAGCGGGTCATGAAGGAGGTGCAGCGAACCGTGTCATGGCGTTCAGCCTGATCGTCACTTACGGAGGTGTGCTATACCTGTCCTGCGTATGAATGGTGCGGATGCTGATCGGTATTCTTCTTTTAGCCTACGCATTCTCGAGCTTGCTTGCGTTCGACCCTTGGCATATGATGACAAGCTTCTTGCAGTACATGCTCCTTTCGCCCATGTATATCAACGTTCTCAACATCTACGCGTTTGCCAACCTGGACGACGTACGTGTCTTCGCTCTCATTTTTTCCTCGAGTACTGATGGCTGTGATAGATCTCGTGGGGTACGAAAGAGGACATGACGCCCGATACCGATCTTGGAGCAGTCGTTCAAGATGTACTCAAAACAGTCGAAGTCGACATGCCCGAGAGCGAAGCAGACGCCAACGCCGTGTACGAAGACGCCATCCACAACCTCAAGCATCGGACGCCTGTCATCCGCGGGGACGGTCAGCTGTCGAAGGCTGAGCGCGAGCAGGCTGCGAAGGAGTACTACGCTGGTGTGCGTACGAACGTCCTTTTGGCGTGGGTCGTGTCGAACGGCTTGCTGTTGGCTGGAATCTTGGGTGGTGGGCAGAGTAGTGCAACGTTCACGAATGGGAATATGACTGCAGCCAAGAGCTATATGACCTTTGTTCTTGCGTTCGTGGGGATCACCTCCATCATCGTACGTCCTTTCGGCCGGTTCACATCTAGAGTTTACTGACGACGTTGATAGCGTTTGAGCGGCTCGACATGTTACCTACTCATTCGCATTCTCACAGGATGATCGAGGATATCTATATGTATTTATCACGGAGTCAGAGGATGGATTGTACGATGAGCTCGGAATATGCACATGCTATAGATATGGAACATCAGATCTGCTCTTAGGTTTGAAGGCTACTGTGAAGAAGGGTGTTCCGTTCTACCAGAGACCTGGAAGTACTTCCGCCTCTCCTGACTGTACAAATAGTCAGTCTGGGCAACATCGAGTACCACAGGATGAACGTACGATGAGAGCTCACGCCCAGGAGGGCGACCCTGTTGTCTGCGTTGCTCGATCAACGCCGACCCTTCCTGTATAATGGCTAGCGCACGCGCATCTTCGTGTCGCGTCCACCATGAAATCCGTGGGTTCTCGGGTACCCAGCTGATGAACGACTCCTGGGCTGAAGACGAAGCTACATGTGATGTAGACGCTTGGACGGCTGTAGGCTGCGCATCCGCGTGTTCATTGCGGCTCGCAGGGCGGTGATCGGGGACTTGAGCTTGTCCATCCGCATTTCGAGGCCTTTTAGCTGGAGGTTCTACCTCAACCGCAAAGTTGGAAGACCGCCTTGGTGGTGGCCTCTTTTGTTTCTTGAGCAGGGTCGGGAGATCGACGGTGCGCGCGTGAGACGCAGTCGCGGGACTGGGAGACCGGGGAAGTTCGTCGTTATGTGAAGGGTTATCGGCGGGCGGAGTGGTCTCTCGGGCTCTGCCCTTGCCCTTCTTATCAGCGCGGCGCGTAGTAACCAACACTTGTCGGTCGTCTTCGTCGAGGTCTTTGAGGTCCGGGTACAATCGGGGATGATGCGCGGCTGTGGGATCCTGCTCGACGTCGGGCATGATGAGATCCTCGACAGCCTCGCTTTCACCGGTCGGGCTGAAGTGGCCTGGCATCTGAGCTCCGGCGTCCACCGCGACGTTCCGAGGTCCATCGAGCTCATCATCCTCGTATATATCGCGTTGCTTGCGCTTCTGTCCCCTCGCCCCATTGACGTTACGCCGCGCCTTACCCTTTCCCTCTGCCCTTTCACTCGTCTCTACTTGATCCCGCTTCGTCCTGCCCTCTTTGCCGAACGCAGCTCGCCCTTCGCTCTTCTTCTCCTGACTTTGGCTCAAGCTCGTATCAGAGTTGGGCACGAGCACCTTTTCCTGCGTACCGGGAGGCGGTACAGGCGGTGGCTCGGCGGTGTGGCGCTTTCCTTGCATCGTAAGCGAGCCGGTCGATGACTTCGGCGAGCGCGCTCGGGTGGTTGATGCGTGGGAGGTTGAGCTAGAGCTGGCGCGCACAGGTGCTGGGTGTCGCGAGCGAGGAGGCGGGGAGGGGGGAGAAGCGCGAGGAGGGGAGGAGCGCATCCAGTCGTCCGAAGATGGTATGGGATCTGGTGAAGAGCGAGCGGGAATTTGTGTGGCTGCCCAGTCTGAAGGCGTAGTCTGGCGCGGTACTCCCGCTTTTGCGGGCTCGTCGTCGTCATCATCGCCATCTGACGATGCGTTAAAGGGTGGTCGACTAAGGAGCCGTACGGGAGTGGGGTCGTCGGAGAGGAGAGCGTTTGAAACTGAACGGAAGTGTTAGCGTGTAGTAGGAGGTAGTGGAAGCGTTCAAAGCTCACCTCGTCTGGACGGAGGCTTAGAGCCAGTTTGTCGCAAAGGCGTGACTTCAGAAGCGCGTGGTGGCCTCCCGGTACGCTGTGAAGCCGTAGACGTTGAGGCCCGCGGTTGCTCAGGACGGGGGCGTGAGTCCATGCTCTCGCGGGCGACGGCTCGCGGGCCTTGAGAGATATCATTGGTCCTAGGAGTGACCGGATCCCCGTCTGTGACGGCGGATTTGCTGAACCTTGCTCTCCTGCGAGCGGCCGCGCGCTCTTCACGTTGTCGAACGCGTTCCTATGATCAGAAATGAGCGCACGTACATGGGTAAGATATGACTTCGGCGTACTTTCAAGTTTGGACCAGAGGTAGACCCATTTATCGCAGTTCCCGGGGCGGTAACAGTCGGCCCCGGTGCGGCGTTCGATGGAACAGCCTTGGCGTTGGGAGGTTCTGGCTGGGACGGGGAGGCTGTTCGGAGACGAACGTCCTGCATCCTGTTCATTACAGACGAAGTAGGCTTTTGCAGAGCAGCCTCGCGTTTGAGGATGTTGCTATTGCTCGTCAGGCTCTGAAAACAGACGCAAGGGGTAGTGAACGCACCCGTCCCCATTCCATAGTCCGTGAATCCACCTTCTCAGATCCAGCTTCTTGCGGAGCGAGACAAGATTATCTTCATTGAAAACTTCTTCTGAGGGGGAAGCCATGACTTCGGCGTGCTCGACCTGCAAGAAAAGCTCGTTCTCCTTCGTCATTCCATTCGGCATGGGGATGCGTTGGAATGCTAGTCGGAAATGTCTGACTTTGAGGACCGCTCGTAGTTGATTGCGGAGACCAAAGTCTAGAAAGTCCGGATCTCTGCAAGGGTTAAAGATTGAGTTCCAAGTAGTATCTTGATAGAAAATGGAGACGCACTGAGAGGCTGTGAAGCTCGACATTGCGCTCTTGAAGAAGCAAACGGGTATCTTCAGGTCTTTATCCGAGCAAAGTGCCCAGACGCGGCTATCATTATGTGAGTTGGGGTAGTGAAGATACTAGATGCAGTCAGTCTCTGTGCGAGTAAGGGGCCACTGGACGCACCCCGATGATCTGAAGGAACTTGGGTTTGACATGCTCGTCTGCGTTGCTCAGTGAGGAGCCATGTTCCCTCGCAATTTGCAGTAAGTAATCCTCAAGCCACGGCTTTAGATTTCGAGACATCGAGGAGCAGACGGGACAGAAGCCCGAGCGTATCAACCGTCGTCACGATTGCAAGAGACAAGAAGAGGGCAACCCGGACGGCCGAGACCACAAAGCCACGTGATCGCGCACAGAGACTGTCATCCATTCTCAATTAAGTACGGCCTACTTTCTTATCCTACGGTCTTCGCGATGAATCAGGATATGCATACAGTACTTGGTCTGGTGTACCGTGGTCGTCGTAGGAAGCGAGGCGAGCCGCCTTCCACGCGCGCGACCTGCGCTCGGCTTACGGATATGCCCGTGACCTCCTCGGAATGGCGAGCTCCTGGCGCCTTCTCTTCGACAGCATCCCGCGATGGCACGGCTGTTCGAATGGAGGCTCGGGTTCTTACGGCGCTTTGACTCTGTACCATGACTGTCCTGCTCGCTGCCGCACGCTCTGCGAGAACGCTCAGGCCAGCGGCTACGCGCGCGTTCACGACTCGGCCTGTGAACGGTTTTGTCGGCGCCGTCGGCAACACCCCCCTTGTGCGTCCTTTGCGCTGTACTTGTTTTGTGTATACTGAGATACGTCACAGATATACCTGGAGCAGCTGTCGAAGAAGACCGGCGCACATATATACGGCAAGGCCGAGTTCCAGAACCCAGGAGGGAGTGTGAAGGATCGCGCCGCGCTGGGAGTCGTCGAGAATGCGGAGAAGTTGGGCTTGTGCGTAATACCATGGACCCTGTGCCTCGCGTTCTTACCCTGTTTAGGTTGAAGCCTGGTGGCACGGTTGTCGAGGGGACCGCTGGCAACACCGGCATAGGTCTCGCGCACGTCTGCCGAAGCAAGGGCTACCGCTGCGTGATCTTCATGCCGAACACGCAAGTACGTTGTGCTTGTATGCTCACTTTGAGACGTATCGCTGACGACATGGCAGAGTCAAGAAAAGATTGATCTTCTGCGCATGCTCGGCGCCGAAGTCTACCCCGTCCCTGCCGTCGCGTTCGAAAACCTGCAGAACTACAACCACCAGGCACGTCGGTTCGCCGAGGCCAACGAAAACGCGGTCTGGACGGACCAGTTCGACAACGTCGCAAACGCCGATGCGCACTATCGCACGACCGGGCCGGAAATTTGGGAACAGACGAACGGCGAGGTCGACGGCTTCATCTGCGCGACTGGTACGGGCGGCACGCTCGCGGGTGTCGGTCGTTATTTGAAGGAAGCAAGCAAGGGCAAGACGCAGGTGTGGCTGGCGGACCCCCCGGGCAGCGTGCTCCACTCGTATATCAGCAGCGGCGGCAAGTTGACAGAACGAAGTGGTGGCTCTATCACCGAAGGTATGTCCGTGTATTGCACAATCTCTTGCACGTAGCTGAGCGCGCGGTATAATATAGGTATCGGTCAGGGCCGTATCACGGATAACTTGGGTACATTCGTGAAGGACGTCGACGGCGCACTGAACATCCAGGACGAGAAGAGCATACGGATGGTGTATGAACTTCTCGACACTGAGGGGCTCTACATCGGTGCAAGCTCGGCTCTAAATGTCGTCGCTGCGGCAGAGCTTGGAGAGAAGCTTGGGCCGGGCAAGAAGGTCGTCACTATTCTTTGTGACGGTGCCTATCGCTACCAGAGCAGGTTGTTCTCGAAGAGCTGGCTGAAGGCAAAGGGGTTAGATGGTGCTATTCCCGAGCACCTGAAAAAATATGCAATTTTGGATTGAGTGCTTGAATATTATGACTAGGGTGTAGCCATCGCACGCGTGGCAGGTACGGGGCATCCACTTAGTGAGATTTGTGGCCCTTGTTCGAAGACTCATAATCAATGGCATTGTAATCTGTATTGTTCTCCATAAATATGTGACATACCTTATATATCCACCTGCAAGCTCTGCATGCATGGTAATAAGGATCTTGCCATATGTCAGTAGTCTGAGTGAGCTGTGTTAACACAAGGCAATCAGAGATGATGAGTGCAATGTACTATGTATATGCACTCGCAATGCAGTCATCGTGCCAACTGTCAAACTGAAAGTGTATCTACTACACAGCGAGCTATAAGCCTGCACCTTACAGCAACACATCTCACATGACCATTCTGCACCCATCCGTTTGGACTACATATACTCGACGCCTCGTATCTATGTTCCTCACCTTTGTCTAGACTCTGGTCTTCTCTTGGTTCTTGCTCTCATGAATACACGCAATTCCTGTTATATTCATGTGATCTCTTCCGCCGACATTAGTGAGAACGGTACTCCTGGGTCCCATCCTACACATTTTTGTTAACTCGACTTTGCATCTTCGAAATCAAACACCCCACCGAGCTTCTCCCATCGTTGGTGGTCCCGCCCGCGTCAACTTAGCTCCATGCCTTCCAGCACCTCCTCACCAAACCCACCGTACTCTTTCCATATGCGGGTTACTATTGTGGAGCAATGCCCCAAGACAAACACAAACACACGCAGAATAAACGCAAACAGGCGGAGGGCTAGTATGAGCCCGTGGAGAAGAGACATGAACACACGTATACGGATGTGCGAGAGAATGGTGGATAGCTGACCACAGCAAAGAGTCCCGGACAGATGTCAAGTGGGTACGGCCTTACTAGCGCGCAGCAATAGCTAGACCGCAACTCAAAGTTAGATAGCTTCTAGATAAAGTACAACACAGACCACTCACCTAGACCGCAACTCAAAGAGGCTGAGATGCAGGTCTAGGATGAGTTTGACAGGCTTTTATAGTACTCTACCAGTCCTATGCCGAGGCTGTGCCGTATGCTGCAAACCGGTGCTGTACTGCCAAATGCACTGCCAAGTACTGCTAAGCTGTACCATACTGCTGAACGCTGTAAAGCTACGCCGCACTGCCGCAGGGAGGCTACGCTATAGGTGGAAGCTATGCCGAGGGAATAACTATGAACCGAGGCTATGCAAGAAAAAGAACAAGTCCAAAGAGAAGTGCATAAGGCATAAGCATATACATAGGCCAAATCATGAGTCCATAATGAGTCACGAGACTTAGTACAAATCCGACCGAAGCCACACGCGCCACATCCGTCCATCCCCAATATCCCACGCTAGTTCTATGAAAAACATAGCACCACCGCCACAGTTACGCCTGGCACTCCACCGGCAACCAACCCCGGCACAAACCTTAACCGTCCGCACCCCTCTTACAACAACAACTCCTCCTCCGCCATCCCGCCCGCCCTCCACCTCCACTTGAACACGGCTTCCTCTGAGCTACTTACGCCCAATGACGGACCGCGTGCGCGGACCTGAATGGCTCCTCTCCACCTGAACCTCTCTCGTCGCAGCTCTGCAACACCCGCTCCCTCCGACTCCGGTGTCTTAGTCTCCCCGCACTCGGGATCCTCAGACACGGTATCATCCCCGATGAGATCAGACTTCTCTCTTATCTTGCCCTTATTGCCTTTATCGCCTTCTCCAGTTGACCACGCCATGACAGATCTTTTGCCACTGCCGGTGATCATCACCTTGGTGTTCTCTGCTGCTGCTCTCGCCTCGACCCTCAGACACAGCTTGGCCCATCCCTCTCGGGCGGGCACCCTGCCACCTCCGCCAGACACTAGCCCAGCGAACTCGCCCTCCCTGGCAGCCAACCCACCTGACACCGACACCACTGGCCTGACACCTTCCTCGCCCACATCGACTGAGACCTACCGAATCCTGGCACCACTCCCTGCGCCGTCTCGCCACCCCTCTGACGCACCATTGGCAACCATTGGCAACTTCATAAATCTGCCACCTCCTGTGCCCGTTTTTCTCTGTTTGTGTATCCCTGTTTTGTGTTCTTCTGCATCGAACTCTTCGCCATCTCGCACTTGCTCAATTTCTGCTCACTCGCTCTCTTCTGACAACGACGCAATGTCTGCCATCATTCACTATCACACTCCGCCTGGCTGTGCCGACATTCTCTCGACCTCTCGCTGAGCCTGCGCTAGCTTTGGCTGTAGTGGTCTTACCATTCAGGGCATCCATCATGCTGGCATCCACTGGGGGCTGTACTTTGAAGAACATGACGTCCACACTGACCGTCTCAAGATCTCGACCATAATTGACCTCGTGTTCCTGGACAACCCTGTGTTCACCATGAAGATGCGCGCCGCCCACTTCGTCCTGGTAAGCAAGACCTGAGACTACTTTATCAGGTTCCTCGTCCACGTTGGGCTTCCCGCTGCCTGAAGCATTGACATTCGCCGCAAAATCACTCACATGGTTCTCTTCCCACCCACTGACTTCATCACCTGGGCTTCGGACATGCTGGTTATCAATGCATACCTGGAGTACCACACCGACGGTTCTTTGCCTGATGAGGCCATGCATACATACTTCATCTATGGCCTTCCGGACACCCTTCGCAACCTCCTCCACTAGAAGGGGCTTCTCAAGGCGCCGTTCATCCCGAAGGGTATGCCGGACTTTGTCGAGTTGTACAAGGCTGATCTTCAGGAGATGGTCGGCACTAAGGCTGGCATTGACTCTCTCGAGTCTCGCATCTCGGACCCCAGCATACCTAAGCTCTCCCTCGAGGAACGCCTCCGGATTGCCACCGTCAACTGCCCACTATGGATCTGGATTGACGCCGTCAGCACTCTCAATCAGGAGCTCCACACTTCTGCCACCGGTCTTGCCGAACTAATCACCTCCGCCAATCCGCCGCCAGCCACCACCTCCCAGCCTGCCACAAAGGCCAAGTCCAAGTCCAAGGCCACCGCTGCGCCCTTGGGCTCGGCCACCTCCGGCTCTGACAACACCACCAACCACCCCAAGGCTTCGAAGCTCCTCGCCACTGAGAAGCAGGTTCTCTGGGACTTCAACGGATGCTTCAAGTGCCGCGTCACTGATGTCCCGGCAGCCCACAACAAGGACAACCCCGCTCGGTGCCAGTTTCCGGTCGGCGGTCCCAGCTACATTTCGGTCACCCGCAAGCTTGCTCTCACGCGCCACCAAGTCCTCTAGGGTGCCGGTCAGCTTCCGCCCGTCGGCGCTGTCCACTCCAATGCCATTGAAGCATCTGACAAGGAGGTCAGTATCAACCACCTCGGCATGGACTCAGAGGATTGGGATGGTGAACCTGCCATGCTCTACCAGTACATCCATGCTTTATCTCCCACTTCCGGGTTGCTCGACATGGCTCACTTCTGTGCTTCTCTGCATTCCTGCTCCACCCAAGACGAGGGCATTCTCTCTGACGCTGTTGTTTGCACCACTGTCGCAGACGGTGTCGGCTTCCGCCATGCTCCCTCTCACCGCGTGGACTCGTCTGCATCCTCGCCTCTGGTCTCCAAGCCTCTGCTTGTGTCCCTCTTTGCCTGCCACTCTCACTCCTGTGCCTGCCTCCCCGTTACATGTCTTATTGACAACAGTTCACAGGTAGGCGTACTCATACGCCCATCAATGGCACACACGCTCGGTGTGCCCAAGGAGCAGTGGGGGAAGTTAGAGTGGCCACTGAGGGCCAGGGGAGCATTCTCGTCTACAGTATCATCATCCACATCCGTACCTTCACCCGACATGCCTTCCACTTCCTTGCCATCCATGACCTGTAGTTGTTATCTCAACCTCTCGTTTGAATCGAGTAATGAGTTGTTCTCTTTTGCGCATATGCGCTGGGTGATCGGTCCCGAAAGCCTGTGCGCGCCTGTCATCCTAGGCCAGCAGTTCCTTGCTGAGAACCGGCTTGTCTGCGATGCCAAAGACCGCGCCATTTGGTCGAAGATCACCAGCTATGACCTCATTCACCCTGACGCTCCGTCGCGCCTTCCTTACCGGTACTCGGCCGACAACATCACCAAACAGAATGCCACTTTCCACGCTCTTTACGACGCCCACATTGCCCGCCTCGGTGCCGCTCTCCTTCCGCAGCAGGAGCCGCTTGCGCCACACACCACCACCGAGTACATCCTGTCCGACTCTATCCCAGACATTGATGATCTGATCCAGTATCGTGCCTGCCTCTCGCATCTCGAATGGCTGGACACCCAGTTCAAAGCAAAACATGCCAGTGTATTTGGACCCATCCCACACGCTTCCAACCTACCGATCGACGTCTTACACTGCATTGACCTCAAAGACACCTCTGCCACCATCCGGAGATGTGCCTACCACACACCTAAGCAATACAAAGCCGCCTTCAATACCCTTCTCGCTGAGAACATCACTTCCATCCGTATTCAGCCATCCACCTTGCACTTCGTTTCACCTAGCTTCCTGGTTAATAAACCCAACGGTTATAAACACTTGGTTATTGATCACCGGCAACTAAACAACAATACCGTCCCCGACCACTTCCCCATGCCGCTGGTTGACGAGATCCTCTGTGACTGCGTGCTCGGCCACATCTGGGGCAAACTTGACATGACCGCCACATTCCACCAGACGCGCACGGACCTGGACTTGCACCAGTACTATGGTGTCCGGGAAAGACAAGCTTCGGATATCAGCCGGGAACGCCCAATCGACCAATGGGCATCTTTGTTTGTGCAAGGCACACACGTAACCTCAACGTTGCTCAGCGTACCTTTTCCTGCACCTGCCGAACTTCCGACATCTCGGAAATGTTACCTTCCGCTGGTAAGGTAGTTATCGATCCGAGATTCAGTTGGTCAAGTCGGCCAGATGAGCGGAGAGCGCCGGCTGTAGGCCCGAGATCAAGACATGCACCAGCATCAAGGGTGTGAATCGCGTGTATGCAGGGGTGATACCATCTGCAGGTACTACACATCCAGTGGTACCTGGATCTTGTCTGCCCAGGAAAGGCATTGGGCGATCGGCATCTACTAATTGAATATTGCGAGAAGCTATTATACTTGAACTGGCATATTTACTTCATCTTCATCTTCCTCGTCCGAGAAGTCCATGTATCCAGGCTCTGCGAAGAGATCGCAATCATCACCGCCATCCTCATCGCCCTGCGGTGGTGACCCATCCCTATTGACTGCATCAAGCAGAGGTTGCGGAACCTTGGGTTGTGCGAGGCCGCCCACGTACTCGAATGCAACGCCTCGCTGCCCTTGGCCATCACTGGCTGGCTTCTCAATGAGAACTCCCTGGCGCATGGGAGGGAGAGGGAGGAGCTCAGGAGGTTGATCGCCATTCATATCAACATCTTCTTGCAGAGGAGAAGGCGATGTTCGAATGGCATCTGAGAGCTCTTGGTCGTAAGGCGCAGAGACAAAGGCGTGGAGAAATAGGTTGTAGACCTCCCAGAAGCTAGCAATTGTGACGATCGGACGGTTAAGCTTCTCGCGGTGGATTTGGAAGTGGCGTTCGAAAACCTCCGGTACAAGGCGGAAAATCGGATGATCGGGGGACTGTGGTTGTCCATGTAGTTAGTAAATCTCATGGCTATAACCAGGCAAGCGTGGTTGACTCAACCACGGCTACCAACTAGCCACC